CCCTCTCCTCTCTCTCTCCGCTCTCTCTCTCCTCTCCTCCCTCTCCCTCTCCCTCTCCCCTCCTCTCCCTCCCTCTCCTCTCTCCTCTCTCCCTCTCTCCCTCTCTCTCCTCTCCCTCTCTCCCCTTCTTTCTCTCCCCCTCTTCCTTCCCTTTTCCAGATCTTTTCCGATTCCGTTGACTGACTCTCCCCGAGTGTATACTTGGGAAAACATTTCTACCTGTTTCTTTTTTTCCTAGATTTTATATCTTGTTAAAACTCTAATTACCATCACAGCGGTTGTTGTTTTTACCACTACCACTATTATCATTGTTATTTTTTTCATTAAAGTTATACTATCGAGGTCAAGGGTCGTTGGCCGGCGAGGTATGCCAACGGTGGAGAGAGAGAGAGAGAGAGAGAGAGAGAGAGAGAGAGAGAGAGAGAGAGAGAGAGAGAGAGAGAGAGAGAGAGAGAGAGAGAGAGAGAGAGAGAGGAGAGAGGGAGAGAGAGAAAGACAAAAAGAAAGAGAGAGAGTGAGAAAACAGAGAGAGGGGAAGAGAGAGAGAAAAAGAGAGAGAGAGAAGAGAGAGAATGTTACATTGCAATAGTGTGCCAATTCCGACCCCTAAAAGCCGCAATAATGGAGATGATGAGCGCTTTTGCAAAATGTTCATCACTCTTGACGAAGCAAGCGCTTTTAAAATATTTACAAAGCAGAAATATTTGAAACCTAGCTCTCCGAGGTAAGGAATATTTCGCAGCCAGGAGAAAGAGATGGAAAATAGGGAGGAAGGGAGGGAGGGAGAGTGGGAAGAAGGGAAGTAGACAAAGATAAACAGATAAATACATACATATATATATATATATATATATATATATATATATATAATATATATATATATATAGAGAGAGAGAGAGAGAGAGAGAGAGAGAGAGGAGAGAGAGAAGAGAGAGAGAGAGAGAGAGAGAGAGAGAGAGAGAGAGAGAGAGAGAGAGAGAGAGAGAGAGGAGAGAGAGAGAGAGATGGAGACGAAAAATGGACAGAGGGAGATAGATACGGAGGCAAAGACGAATGCAGACACAGACAAACGAAGAGGAAGCCAAACGCTAACCAGCATCTAGAACACACGTACCCTTCGCCATGACGATGACTTAACACCGATAGCCTATGTTCACAGACTAATCATCACGGCAACGTTAATAAGGAATCAATCAACTTAGCCCCTAATTAGTGCTGCGCCGCGATCAATACAGCTAACAGCCCACGAGCAACGGCGTCGAACTGGCAGCGACTACAGCAACCGCTGTCTTCGTTATATTCTGCAGACGCCGAACACACTTCAACAAGCAACAAGTGCCGCCGGCGTCGGAATCGGACAAGTTCCCGCGAGAATTACTGGGGACTTCCGGTGGTTGCTTCGTCCGGTGGTTATCTCGATCAATGGGTTGTTACGTTCAGTGTGTTGTTACGTGGTCGCTGCGTTGAGTAATTGTTGTTCCTGGTTGCCACTTTCAATGGTTCTCCTTCTGGAACAGCTGTCAGGTTCAATGGTTGCCGTGTCGAATGGCCAAGTTTAGTGGCTGGCTGTCGCCTTCAGCGGTTGTTATTCCAGTAGTTGACTTGACCTGTGGTTGTCAAGTACAGGGATTGTCACAGCATATTCCCGGGCAGTAGTTTGCTGTGTTGTATCGTTTCTCTGTATGTCTGCTCTGGTTTTGTTATTTTCCATTATCATTATCTGGTATTATTATCATCCTTATTCTTAGCATTATTAGTATTATCAATATCGTTAATATCATTTCCATCATTACTATCATCACTGATATTGTTATTATTATTATTATCATCATCATCACCATCCTCATCATCGTCATCATTATTATTATCATTATTAATATTGTTGTTGTTGTAGTTTTCACGATTATCATCATTATTATTACTATTACTATTATTATTATTAATATTGTCATTACTTTATGATGATGATGGTATTTATAAAGATAATAAGAATAACAATGAGCGCAAAACGGTGATAATAATAAAAATAATAGCAATAATAATAATATTATTATCATTAAAAAAAATAATGATAATAATAATAATAATAATAATGATAACACTAATAAAATCACGATGATGACAGTATATAAGACGGTTATTGATAACAACACACGAAAGAGAGAGAAAAAAATAAGTCAATTTTTATGACTAAAGTACAACAGTTCCATGTTGCTGCTCTTGTGTAATGGATTTTCTCGTAGAATTCTCTCTTCCGTTTGAAATTTCTCTCTCTCTCTCTCTCTCTCTCTCTCTCTCTCTTCTCTCTCTCTCTCTCTCTCTCTCTCTCTCTCTCTCTCTCTCTCTTCTCTCTCTCTCTCTCTCTCTCTCTCTCTCTCTCTCTCTCTCTCTCTCTCTCTCTCTCTCTCTCTCTCTTGGTGTGTGTGTGTGTGTTGTGTGTGTGTGTGTGTGTGTGTGTGTGTGTGTGTGTGTGTGTGTGTGTGTGTGTGTGTGTGTGTGTGTGTGTGTGGTGCGCGCGCGTGTGTGTGTGTGCCTGTGTGTAGTGCAATGAACGTTCTGGTCTTGCAATCTTGCTGACCTGCGTTCGATCCTGCGCGGCACCAGTGAAGGTAACCCCGGCCATTCCTTGCACACAGGGGGAGATTTAGAAGCAAAATAAAACAGAAAGTATGTCACAGCAAAGAATATGCATTGTAAGAAATGGAACTGAAACTAAATCTTTATAAATCCTAATCTTTATAATCTCTCTCTCTCTCTCTCTCTCTCTCTCTCTCTCTCTCTCTCTCTTCTCTCTCTCCTCTCTCTTCTCCTCTCTCTCTCTCTCTCTCCCTCTCTCTCTCTCGTCTCCCTCTCTATCTCTCTCTATCTCTATCTCTCCTCTCTCTCTCGCTCTCTCTCTGTCTCTCTTCTCTCTCTCGCTCGCTCTCTCTCTATCTATCTCTCTCCTCTCTCTCTCCTCTCCTCTACTCTCCTCTCCTTTCCTCTCCTCTCGTCTCCTCTCCTCTCCCCTCCCTCTCTCTCTCTCTCTCTCTCTCTCTCTCTCTCTCTCTCTCTCTCTCTCTCTCTCTCTCTCTCTCTCTTCTCTCTCTGTCTCTCCTCTCTCTCTCTCCTCTCTCTCTCTCCTCTCTCTCTGTCTCTCCTCTCTCTCTCGCTCTCTCTCTCTCTCTCTCTCTCTCTCTCTCTCTCTCTCTCTCTCTCTCTCTCTCTCTCTCTCTCTCTCTCTCTCTCTCTCTCTCTCTCTCTCTCTCTCTCTATCTCTATCTATCTATCTATCTATCTATCTATCTATCTCTGTTTCTCTCACTAACTCTCTCTATCTCTCTCTCACTCTCTCTCAACTCTCTCTCTCTCTCTCTCTCTCTCTCTCTCTCTCTCTCGCTCTCTCTCTCTCTCCTCTCTCTCTCTCTCTCTCTCTCTCTCTCTCTCTCTCTCTCTCTCTCTCTCTGTGTGTGTGTGTGTGTGTGTGTGTGTGTGTGTGTGTGTGTGTGTGTGTGTGTGTGTGTGTGTGTGTGTGTGTGTGTTGTGTGAAAACACAATGCTTTGACACGCACACGCATCCCTTATTATATATATCAACAGTCTTAGATAAGTAAAATACGTTTACCGCGCATGCAAGTCTCTCTCTCTCTCTCTCTCTCTCTCTCTCTCTCTCTCTCTCTCTCTCTCTCCTCTCTCTCTCTCTCTCTCTCTCTCTCTCTCTCTCTCTCTCTCTCTCTCTCTCTCTCTCTCCTCTCTCTCTCTCTCTCACACACACTCTCTCACTCTCTAACTCTCTCCCTCCCTCCCTCCCTGTGTGTGTGTATGTGTGTGTGGGTGTGTGAAAACACGATATTCTTACACGCACACTCATTCAAAATTCCATATATACCAAAATGTTAAATCAACAGTCTTAGATATGTAATTCGTTTACCGCGCATGGAAGTCGCATCACGTGCATGGTACTTGTTTGCGTCAAGAATTCCAATAGCGAAATTGACAAAAAAGAAAAAATAATAAAAAAGAAAAAAAAAATCTAACAGCAACCCAAACATGGTAAGGGTTTTTTTTTTCGGACCCAAGTTTCGCGTTGAAGGCGTAATATTTGAAATATATACATCTGTCAGTTTAACTATCTAACTCTCTATACATATACCCGGGTGTATGTGCGTGTTCGTTTTTTTTTTTTTTTTCTTGTGTGTGCGTGGTCGCATAAATCTGTGTATAATCCTCCTTCCACATTATCAGAGGTGGAAAACCGGTTTGGTCGAGTCGCCATCCAGATTCCGTGCTGTTCTTAGTGTTTAACGCATATTTTGCACAAAATGCTGACTCGTAATCACGCGAAACCTTAAGATATTTTCAAAATACTTTCCACAAGAAAAAATGTCGGTTAACGTTTGATCTAGAATTTATCTGCATTTAAGATCGACATATTTTGGCACCTAACTGTTTAGTGTTGCTTGAACATCACTTTATTGCAGTGCACAAAGTGTTTCATTTGAAAGAAAAACATCAATATAGTAGTTAACAAGGAATATATTTTCTTTTCCTAAAAGAACAGAAAGATATTATTCCCCCCTATACAGTGCATGAGCTGATTAGCAATCTTTTGAATTGATAAGCCTTACGTATTCGGTTTACTATTTTCCATTTTCTACCATTTTTATCATTTCCATTTATCTACCATTTAAGCATTTTTCACATTGAAATCTCTACCGGAATAATGTGCTGAATGTTCGCGCGTTTGTTGTTGCCTCTTTTCGTGCTTGAGTTCTTCCAATCGCAGTTAAAATCCGAAAGACTTCTGAAGGAAAAAAGTAATAGTTGATATCCAGATCAGTCTTATCATCCATTCCACAGACACAATGAAGTTACACCTGAAAGAATGATAATGCTTTGAAAATGAAATTCGAGCGTTGACTTGACTTGGGGTTCACGGTTGGCGAGAAAGCAGCGCATTCCCACGCAGTTCAAAAAAAGAGCATCGATCTTACGAACGTATTCACCCCCATCCGCTCATCTCACGGCTCCTCGGTGCCGGGTCGAGCCTCTGGCCCTCTCTCGCGGGCTTCTCGGCAGGGGGGATAATGATCTTTTTCTCGGTTTGGGAAGGTCGAGAGCGTACTTGTGGAAGGGTCGAGAGGGCACCTTTGGAAGGGTCGAGAGGGCACTTTTGGAAGGGTGGAACGTCAGGGCACCTTTGGAAGGGTCGAGAGGGCACCTTTGGAAGGGTAAGAGAGGGCACCTTTGGAAGGGTCGAGAGGGCACCTTTGGAAGGGCGAGATGGCACCTTTGGAGGGTGGAGGGCAGGTCGAGAGAGGCTTTGGAAATGGCCCTTTTTGGAAGGGTCGAGAGGGCACTTTTCCGAGAGGAAGAGTGCAGGGCACCTTTTCGAAAGGGTCGAGAGGGGTGGTTGGGTAAGGGTCTTTGGAAGGGTCGAAGGGCACCTTTGGAAGGGTCGAGAAGGGTCGAGAGGGCACCTTTGGAAGAGGGGGAGGGTTTGGAAGGGTCGAGGAGGCACCTTTGGAAGGGTCGCACCAGGGTCAAGAGGGCACCTTTGGAAGGGTCGAGAGGGCACCTTTGGAAGGGTCGAGAGGGCACCTTTGGAAGGGTCGAGAGGGCACCTTTTGGAAGGGTCGAGAGGGCACTTTGGAAGGGTCGAGAAGGGCACCTTTGGAAGGGTCGAGAGGGCACCTTGGAAGGGTCGAAGGTCGAGGGCACCTTTGGAAGGGTCGAGAGGGCACCTTTGGAAGGTCGAGAGGGCACTTTTGGAGGGCACTTTGGAGGGTCGAGAGGGCACTTTTTTGGGAAGGGTCGAGAGGGCACCTTTGGAAGGGTCGAGAAGGGCACTTTGGAAGGGTCGAGAGGGCACCTTTGGAAGGGTCGAGAGGGATGGAAGGGTGAGAGGGCACCTTTGGAAGGGTCGAGAGGGCACCTTGGAAGGGTCGAGAGGGCACCTTTGGAGGGTCGAGAGGGCACCAGGGTCGAAGGGACCTTTGGAAGGGTCGAGGGCACCTTTGGAAGGGTCGAGAGGCACCTTTGAAGGGTCTTTGGAAGGGTCGAGAGGGCACCTTTGGAAGGGTCGAGAGGGCACTTTGGAAGGGTCGAGAGGGCACTTTGGAAGGGTCGAGAGGCACCTTTGGAAGGGTCGAGAGGGCACCTTTGGAAGGGTCGAGAGGGCACTTTTGGAAGGGTCGAGAAGGCACTTTTGGAAGGGTCGAGAGGGCACTTTTGGAAGGGTCGAGGGCACTTTCGAGAGGGCACCTGGAAGGGTCGAGAAGGCACTTTTGGAAGGGTCGAGAGGGCACCTTTGGAAGGTCGAGAGGGCTTTGGAAGGGTCGAGAGGGCACCTTTGGAAGGGTCGAGAGGGCACCTTTGGAAGGGGTCGAGAGGCACTTTGGAAGGGTCGAGAGGGCACCTTTGGAAGGGGTCGAGAGGGCACCTTTGGAAGGGTCGAGAAGGGCACTTTGGAAGGGTCGAGAGGGCACTTTGGAAAGGGTCGAGAGGGCAAGGGTCGAGAGGGCACCTTTGGAAGGGTCGAGAGGGCACCTTTGGAAGGGTCGAGAGGCACTTTGGAAGGGGAGAGGGCACCTTTGGAAGGGTCGAGAGGGCACTTTTGGAAGGGTCGAGAGGGCACCTTTGGAAGGGTCGAGAGGGCACCTTTGGAAGGGTCGAGAGGGCACCTTTGGAAGGGTCGAGAGGGCACCTTTGGAAGGGTCGAGAGGGCACCGAAGGGTCGGAGGCACCTTTTGGAAGGGTCGAGAGGGCACCTTTGGAAGGGTCGAGAGGGCACCTTTGGAAGGGTCGAGAGGGCCCTTTGGAAGGGTCGAGAGGCACCTTTGGAAGGGTCGAGAGGGCACCTTTGGAAGGGTCGAGAGGGCACCTTTGGAAGGGTCGAGAGGGCACCTTTGGAAGGGTCGAGAGGGCACTTTTGGAAGGGTCGAGAGGGCACCTTTGGAAGGTCGAGGGTTCTTTGGGGTCGAGAGGGCACTTTTGGAAGGGTCTTTGGAAGGGTCGAGAGGGCACCTTTGGAAGGGTCGAGAAGGCACCTTTGGAAGGGTCGAGAGGGCACCTTTGGAAGGTCGAGAGGGCACCTTTGGAAGGGTCGGAGGGCACCTTGGAAGGGTCGAGAGGGCACCTTGGAAGGGTCGAGAGGGGGAAGGGTCGAGAGGGCACCTTTGGAAGGGTCGAGAGGGCACCTTTTGGAAGGGTCGAGAGGGCACCTTTGGAAGGGTCGAGAGGGCACCTTTGGAAGGGTCGAGAGGGCACCTTTGGAAGGGTCGAGAGGGCACCTTTGGAAGGGTCGAGAGGGCACCTTTTGGAAGGGTGAGGGCACCTTTGGAAGGGTCGAGAGGCACTTTGGAAGGTCGAGAGGCACCTTTTGGAAGGGTCGAGAGGGCACCTTTGGGAAGGGTCGAGAGGGCACCTTTGGAAGGGTCGAGAGGGCACCTTGGAAGGTCGAGAGGGCACCTTTTGG